TAATTCTGGGCAAGGAATCAAAAATCACGTTAAAAGTTACAATAAAATGCGGTAGCAACAAACAACAATAACAACCAGGTGTGTGTTGTCTCGTCCGAGCTTGTTAAAGCAAACAAGGTCAAGCACACTGAGATCCGTTCCTAGACAGTGCCATGAAAACCGATTAATGTAAGTAAATTCTACTCAGACAGACTCTTGCCAAGTCACAAAATGCTAATAAATGTGACCTATCTATTTCCAGGGTCCCATACACCACTATGACGTCTATTGAGCTTTTCTGTTCCTATTTGCTTTATTTTTGAAATATTGAACACAGGTGGAATAATAGCGAAAGTTGGGCTAGTTGGTGGTTCATGCTTGGGATGTAAACACAGCGCAAAAAATAGAGACAAGGACAGAGAAAGTGTGGTGTCGTCTCTTCCTCTGTCCTTGTCTATATTTTTTGCGCTGTGTTTACATCCCAAGCGAACACAGGTAAACAAACTCTCTAATGACCACACCAAGCCTCACTTACACTCCGACCAAATAGTAAGTTGAAATCCCAGTGAGTTCGATTAAAAAAAAATTCCAATGACTCTGAGCGAGAGTGAGTGCCATTGGTAAATCTAGAATTATTTAGAGAGTCTTGTTTGAAAGAAGCTTTGATGAGTCCGAGGCTGAGTGGATCAGAAGAACAGAATGTATTTTTTGGGGTGAGCTCTATTGAGCTCTGATTTTCGCTGGCTTCTGATGTGAAATGCTACAACCGCCAGAAGTTTTGTTAACAATTTTCTTCATCCACTTATCCTTTCATTCTTTCAATCATTGATTTATTCATATTTTCGCTGCTATGTGAGACAACTCTCCTGCATGAAATCTTACAAAGGCGTTGCTGAGCATGTTATTCTGGGACGTTTCCTCACGCCGTACTAGCACGCGATTTCGATGTAACCATCGTCGACGTTCAGGCATAGTGTCACCCGCTCTTCATTATTCGCGTCGTGGAAGTGCGTGGATTTTTCGCGCGCCTCATGCGTTTTGTTCGCCATATGTCTAAAAGGCCTATCTCACGAGGCATCTGCTTAGTCAGTGTGCTCTTTTTTACTGCATTTTTCGTTCTTGTTGTAGCGGTGTTCCTGGTGCTCCATATATATATATATATATATATATATATATATATATATATATATATATATATATATATATTTCACAGCTGGCAACGACGTGAATCTCATCACAAGCGCTGTCGCCGCTCTTGAGGTGGTCGCGGAACATCCGGAAACAAGCGGCACAGGCCGGCTATTGCGATATTTTCAGCATGCACTCCATGGTTACCAGCGGCGGTGAAGTGCACAAAGCGCTAATATAACCTTTGTTTGCTGAGTGTCACTTTGAGCTCTTTTTAGGTTGAAAACAGAGCAACAGAGTGACATTTTAAAAACCTCAGTGTCATTTACGGCAGTCTGAAAAGACGAGCCAGTGTCTTCTGCATGAGAAGTTCAAAATTTCACGCACACTGTAAAAGAACGTGACTTCCCTGAATTACCCGCAATATCACCGCGTTTTGACTGTTTAGCCAGTCGTCAAATGTCGACGTAATAGAATTGCTGTAATTTTCTTAATAATATATCTGTTACACTCAGATAAACAAGCAAACTCTAACTGTCCATCAGTACTGTCTTATATGAACGAAAAATTGGCACCTATTTAGGGAAAAGCTATCTGAATGCTTCAAATGCATAGTTGACATTTTGTTCGAAGCCATGCAGCCTCATATTGTTATATCAGCAATGATGCCGGACAACCTATCATTAGTTTTGGCTGTTGGATTATTTGGAGCAACGTTTATCAGATGCACTGCAAGTAAGATCTTCAAACACTTTTTTTTCTCCAGAAGTGATTACTGAGTGTCTCTATGCTCAGGAATTCAGCATTGTTTTTTATATTAAATTTGCGAACATCCAAAAAATATGAGAAGTGTGAACAGAGGACTGCTGAGAACAGAAAGCAGCTGTACCCCTAAATTTTGAGGTGAAGTGATGAGATGTTTTTCCAATACGCATTCAGTGCGTGTTGGTTCATTACCTACGTAGGTTCATGAAAAATTTATATAAAATGCAGTAGTTGTTTTATAAAGTAGATGACCAGTGTCGAGTATTAAAATATTGAAAGCTCGCTCATTGATACCTCGATAATTTCAAAAATTAGATAATTTTACCTGTTTTCTGACCCCGGGCAGCATATTCACTGTTTAATGACATGAAGCACTCGTTCATTCGGTCCGATTCACCTGTCATGCGGTCTACTGGGACGGTCGACGCATCGCACGATGCACAATAGGAGAAAGGAAACTTTCAAACAACCTACACGAGAAGACACTGTATAGTGAGCCGACATGGTGACTGCTACGCAAGAGTTGCACTTGCAGATGTATCACCCCAACCGCTTCAAAATAACTAGGTTATATTATAACTTGTTTCACCCTACTAAATGCATGGATGGAAGTCCGTGCATTTTGCCATTGACATGTTGAAACTCGCAGGTGTGATTGCAAAGATGAACGCTTAGTTTTTCTTTCAAAGGTAAGGTTAATTTTTCAAATAGACGTGTTGGGAATCTGGAAAGCAAGCGCCTTCGCTTTCCCAAGCTGCAAAAAGCTATGGGGACTTTGCTACTGCTGTGCATGAAGCATGGTCTTTTTTAGAGAGATAATGCAGACCTGTTAGGGTCTGACTGCACTCAGTTTTCCAAAACGACGTCACCAAGGACTTTTATACCTTTGCTGCACATTGTGCACTTTGTTTGTATCTGAAGGCCAGCAATAAAAAGGACTTGAAGTGCCCTGTCTAATAGTTGAAGGTGTTCTGTGGCGCAAGATAAAACACAGCAATATCGTCTGAATAACAGAGCCAGCTCTTTCGTTTTTAACCTCGACAACAGTATCAATTCTACGCTCAACTGGGGCGACAGCGTTGCCGAGAAAAATTGGCAATAAGTTGACTTCGTGAAGCCCGTCCGGTGCAGCAAAGGCGTTTTTCATTGTCAGCCTCGTTAAAAATAATTTGCCAATATCCATATTTCTGGTCAATGCTGAAAAAATATTTTGCCCTTTCAAGCGTTTCCACAGGTTCATCAGCTTGAGGCATACACCACACGTCGTTGGGTGCTATCCGACTTGTTGCTGCGTAATAAATGAAGATACAAAAGGAGCAATCTCTCTCTTCGCAAAGACGACCTGAAAAGCCCAAAAACTGGATCAGCGTTATGTGGTATTTCATGAAAATTGGTTATGTGGTATTTCATGAAAAGTGGTATTTCTTCAGTAAGTGTACTTTACGGCTGAGAAATACAAGAAGGTCGATGGCGTATAAGCCATCACCTTATATTTTGATGTGGTATACCACCATAGGAGTCGTACCAATTGTCGGGGCACGGCTATTGAAGCAGATCTTGGCTCATCTTAAACCACCAATAGCGCTTGTGACTAGCGAATGCCAGATTCAAACCAAGAAGAGTTCGGAAGGAGAAAGAGCTAGAACCATGAGCTTGTGCTGGCGATGAATATGAGCGAAATTCTCCGATTGGGGTAAGCAGAGAACCATCTATTGTCGCCACAGTCACCTCCTTGGGCGATAGCATAAATTTGGCAGTGGCGTTATAGACAGGAAGAAGAGAGCGGGCAGAGGACAACCGGAGCATATAAGAGGCGAAGAAAATTCCCTGTGAAATGCAGCGATGAGAAGAGGAACAGGTGCATCACCGTCAGCTATATGACTACTTGCTACAGATACCACGTGTTTGTGATTATGTCTTCAGGCAAAGCCAAGATGAAGATTGAGGGCTACGATGCCAACATAGAGGCATCCGAGGTATCCGTGATGTGAACGACGTCCCATTAGATGCGCCACAGCTCTTTGACTCACGTCTGTAACGCCGTACGCACGTGCGTTCGTAAAAACACACTGCAACGCGTTCTCCTTACCGCAGGAGTTAGAGCGGTGCTAAGTAGGTCACGTCGCGGCTGTGTGTTGACATCACACTCCCCTAGCACACTTGCTTTGCAGATGCGTGCTGACATCGCTCTCCCTCCCGCGCAGCGCGCTTGCCGCAGCGCCTTCAGCTTCCGGCTACTCCGCTAGCTTACAACACACTTCTCTCACGCTTCACCCTCTCCACCACCCGCAATGCTCAACCACACGTCGAGTGGGAACACTTGTTCAGGTCGTTTATTTGCGACGAAACTTGCAGAAAATTGAACGTGCCTCCCGTGTCTTCGCGTTTCAAGCAAACGTGCACTCGACTAAACGCTACAGCAAGTTTCGCTTTAAACTGTTCTTCCAGCACCCACGTCGACACCCGTTTCAAAAGGGTGAACACCGTGCAAAACACTGCTCACCTCCATTCAGGGTTCCTTTTGGAGAGATGGTCCATAGATTTACACAATATTACAGTGGAGGCAAAATGTTGGAAGTCGTGACTCAGGATAAAATTATGAACTCACGTTGGTAGCATAGCCATCTGCGCGTGGTGGCGTGTGCCATCGATGAAAACATCAGCCGTGAACTGCTCGTCTGGCTGACTGAGCGCGCAATACGCGCTGCGCAACGCAGGTCCTAGATGTTATGTTTTGACTTTACGAATCTGCGGACACAAGGTACAACGGCCAACATAATTGGTGGAACCGGTATGAACAAGCGTTTGCACAAGGTGCGCTTCAAAAGTCAAGGACATATTGGTCTGATGAAGAAAAGGTTTCATAATCGAAAATGCTGTTTTCCCTAAAAAACTGCAATCTTTGGTTTTAGAACTAAAAATGGTTGACAAAGTGGTAGTTAGAGCGAAGCGGTGGTGCATAACGGCAACATGGTGAAGGAGAGCGTTGTCTAGGGGAACGGCCGTTCTCTTATGGTGCGGGTTCACTGTAGGTGCCGGAGGCCACTACTGCGTGAACAAGTGCGAGTATGGGCCACGAACACCGTGTCGTCGATTTAGGTTTCGTCAGAATTCAGCATAGACTAGTCATGCATCCTGCTGGTGGTGGTGGCGGTAATCAAATATGCGGCCATGAATACCGCAGTAAAACCATACGGGATAGAATCAATGACCCGCCTGGAGGGTGTTGCAGATACTACAAAGCGTGCAGAAGTGAAAATCACCACACAATGTCACCAGGCCCAGTAATGCTAGCAATGAACAAAACCCGAAACTCGTTTATGAGACAATTTGCAAACTGTTCTAGAATTTTTAATATGAATATTGGCTAGCACCATTCATTCAAGGGCTTAGCAAATAAGCTTGCCTAGTTTAACAACCAAACTAAAATAATGTGAGTTAGTTAAGGTGATAGTAAGCAACGTGCATTGGGTTGCACCATCATCAATTGCTTTGGCATACTTATCTCTCCTCGCTGGATATAGCTGGGCTATCCTGCATGCACAGCTGATTAGATGGCACAGATTAGGGCTAAGTGAGGAAGAACGAAAGTTCAACACAAACTTACTACACTAGAACATAGGCAAAAGGTGCTAACAGCGTTGACAACACAGACAAGGATAAAACGGCATCTCTGGGAAAATCGACATAAACCACCTCTACCTCTGACAGCTGTCGTGAAAATTCGATGCTATTGTTTAGGTAAAGATGGGACACCGAGGACCTACTCCTTAACAACAACACATTTTTTTGCGTTTCGTGTAGTGCCAAAGACTCTAGGCATCGTTTATCCGTATCTCATCGAAAGCCGCAACGATGGCGGTGAAAAGGTCATCAAAATATCTGAAAGCATCACGTTAAATTTGAAGAAGAGCTCGGTAGTAAGCAAGGAGTTTCTGCTAAGAACTCACCAGGATGACATTATGGAACACAACTACGTGAGTATAAAACAGAGCTGTTTATCACTTCAGAAGGTTGTGCTACCTCTTACAGCTGGGTTCAAACTAGTTTTCAAAGTTTTGAAATGGCATCAGACTTCAAAGATATTGTTGTTGCCCTATTCTACAACTAAAAGTAAAGAAACAAACAGTGGAGGATACACGAAAAAGAGATTACATATTTGGTTGTGTCGTCTATGTTCACAGGCTGTTTGTTTTTTAGATGCTCCTCACAGCCTCAACGAGGCTTTTCATTGAAGATTTTATAATAAATATTATATTTGTCTTCTCAAGGCATGTTCAGGAAAATGGATGTGAGAAAAAAAGCTTAAAGGTTTGTCACTCGCTCTTTACTGTGAGCATGAATGCAGGCGATCCTCACCTCCCCGTTCCAATCAACACAATAAACAACGCACCCATCCCTATGAGCGTTCTTCACCAAAAATTATAATACTTGGGCTATCGATAACCTTTGGGAAATTAGCTCAAGAATAGTACAACACAATCGAGTCTCTTGCTTTAACTTCGATGTAATTTTCCTACGTTTTTACAGGGATTTACAACCAGGAACATTGTGTTTCTTCTAAAGAGCAAGAAAAATTTTCTTCTCGATATGACTTTGTTAGGTGAAATGTTAGGTTGTACAAAAAAGGCAAATTTCATGGAAAATGCTCTTTTTATACCTCAGATTTAGCAAAGGTGCCGCGAGTATAGAAATTAACGAACCACTTTTTGGCGTTTGCTGGAAAGTGGGCTAACAGACACTTGAGCACTCCATCTGAGCACCATTATCTAATTCGAGAAACACAAGACGGTATGTCACATCTTCAGAGCAGGACAAATAAGTGACAAGTCTTGACGTAAATATGGCACCGTTGTGCTTCTCACTTCTCCTTAATGCTTGATAATCTACAAGCAGCTTTCGCGTTTCTTTTGCGCAGTGTAAACAAATACAGTGCATTGATCGTAGTCTGGAAAATCATTCTTTCCGTACAGAACGAATACGTTCAATGCACTGGTTTACCTAAATTGTTATCGTTTTTTTTTCAGCTCGATGGCGAAATACTGGAACAAAATCTTTATCACGACGCCGAGGCTTTTGCTTCAGTTATTGTGCTTCACGAGGACGGCTTGAAAGTTGTGAGTGTTTACTGCATCGCACAGAGGAATAAAAGCAGGAGGAATGCCAATGAGCTTATTCGTCAAAGCCTCAGTTTCAATAAAAAAAAAATGTAGTATTAATGCATGGAAAGAAAGGTATCATATTTTCACTTCATGAACCAGAATATATATCACTGTGCGCAACTAAATGTTTTTCTTAAATATTGCAGCCAACATTTTGTAACAACGTGCATGCAAAGACAACGTATCCCCGTCAGTGTTGATTAAGAATGCAGCTGTACAACCTCTATAATCACGCTTCAAGAGGTGTACTCGTGGTATATGGTCACGCATTTCTTTACGTTTATTCTTGTAGTACCCGTTAACGTAAAATAATTTCCTCGGCTATTTTCTGCAATTGGTAGCCTTCTTTTTACTCGTAATGACAACGTTTATGGAACAGTGAAAATTCTTAGGCGCATCGTAAGTGGCAAAACATCAACTCATCGCAAGTAACTCAATACCTTTACTGAATAACATTTGTGCTTTCCGGGCTGTCCACAAAATTTAGGAATGCTCTTACTGAATTCTTTTCCAAGCATCATGTCACGTTCGTACGAAAAAAAAAGTGAACAGCAAGCAATATTGTATGTCATTCGAAAGTGATTCTAATAAATCGGACGGTGTGAAGGGCAGAAGTAGCTCTTATAGAAGTCGTTGTGGAACCTGACAGTCTAGTGGTGCCTTTTTAAATTGAACTGCTTTGGGGGGGGAAGCCTGAAAGCGTACAGCCTCATGCAATCTAGCTAGTATATGGTGAATAATAATATTGAACATGTGACGCTCCCTCTAATAAGTCAATGAGGCTGTTTTCTTGTCAAACAGAGAAGTTTAATGTGTCGTCGCGTTACAAAAAGGACTCACTTTAGCTCTGTTATAGCACGCTAATGAGATCTCAGGCTAAAATCTCAGGCTCAGACCCCAGCCTTCTCAACCGTTAGCCTTTATATCTAAAATTTTGCTGTTCACGAGGACAAAGGTGTGCATTCATAGCGAAAGATAGCGGAACCCACACTAGCACCAGGAACACTAGCATAATAAATATATTTACAGGCATCTAGAGAAGAAAAAGAGCAAGCATCAAGTGAAACACAGTTCATATAAGAGAAAGATCCGCGTATATACAGTAGGCTTGATAGAGAGTTTCCAAAAGCATATAAAAGAGGTGTGTTAGTTACAAAGGCACGTAAGTGATTCCGCCGCTTTGGTGTTCTGCGTGATCTTTTGATATCCAGGAAGGTATCGTAAGCTCTATGCTTGGAATAAAGCCGATGAAGACCAGAGAAAGGTCAGCAGATGGCAGCATTCCTCACGCCTTTTATGAGCTGCCCCGAGAGAAGCCCAATGACAAAGCAACAGGTAAGTGGATAAAAAAAAAAACTTGTCTTGAAATGCCCCGCCGCACTTGTCTATAGGGCTAAGGTACTTAGCTGCTGACCAGCAAGTCGTGGAATTGAATCCCGGCGGCGGCGGCTGAAATTTCGATGGAGACGCAAATTATGTAGGCCCGTGGGCTCAGATTTGGTTGCATGTTAAAGAACCCAAGGTGTCCAAAATTTCCGGAGCCCTCCTCTACGACGTTTCTGATAACCATATGGTGGTTCTGAGACGTCAAACCTTACATATCAATAAAACTTGTCTTGAGTGAGATATTAGTTACGCCATTGAAAAAAAAACGAAAGAAAGAAGCATAAACAGAAGGCGTTACAAATTGGAAAGCAACAGTATTAAGTTTTCCTTAGGGCGAGCTTCTTCATCGCAGATAGAACATGTAGGACAGTTTAACTTCACCTTCGACAGTAGAATGCGACAGCTTAACTATGCCCTGCGCACATCGCCTTCTCAGTTGTTACCCTGGCTTCAGTTTTCGCTGCATGCCGAAACCGAGTCGTAAGAAAGCAAACAAATGTGGGCGTAACATTCACCATTTCAAACTATTCTAGCCTGCTTATGTCATGTACATTTGCTGAGTACCCACTGCGCAACAAAGGTACTATTTTTGTGAAATTTCCGAAGGGCTTCCTAGGCGTCAATACGGTAACACGTGAACCTACGCAAGTGCTCATTTTGTTGAAGCTTTTGCAGCTGACGACAATTACATATGTGTGAGCACTTTGTAAAGGTTGGGTGTTTAAAGCACCCACTCGTTGCACGATTCAAATTTTTTTATGCCTGGCGATATTCTGCGCTTCTACCACGCACTATCACATGAAAAGTTGACTTGAAATAGAAAATCAAGAGACGAGTATGGCATCGTAACTGTCTCTCTCAGAGGAGGTCACCTCAATATTACATGCGATAAGTAGACTTCTTCGAATAGATGGCATTCATAAAAAAATTGTTTTTCAAAGAAATATCAGGTAACAGGGCTACTTTGTGGTAGAACCCCTGCTTTCCACACAGGCAGCCAAGGTTCGATTCTCGCACAAACTCAAAATTTCTTCGGTTTAGTATATTTGCACTTTTCTAGTCTTTTTGATCATGGATAAGATAACGAATTTTCGCTCACAAACAATGACAACAACACCAAATTTATTTTTGCAACTGTGCAACACTTCATGCCAATGATAGCATTCCAGTGGCTAATTTTTCACGCTCAGTCTGGCGTAGCTGAACAGGTGTCGTACACGACAATGTGGTTATCATACAGCAAGTAATTCATATGAATAAACACAGGGCAACCTGCTAGATTGCGAACGAAATCTATATTTAACCATATATCTGGACCCGCACAAAGCGTACCAAATTAACATTTGCAGCACAATTTTACGCTGGCATGAATTAGACAAGAATGCATTCGCATCCTTGATAATTACATAGGCTCTGTCATTTGTTTCAGGACAAAAGATGCTATTCTCCTCAGTCTATTCCAGCTTTTATCCTGAGCAAAAACGTACGTCACTTCTCCTTTTCAACTGTGCAAAAGAAATCTACATTTGTGAGAACTTTCATTTTGCTTTTTTTTTTGCTTTCTGTTTATTTCTGGTTTTACAGGTCGTCCAAAAAAAGTTTCCATGGAAATTATGGTACTTGTTGACAGTTATTTTCGAAGGCAGTTTGAGGACAAGAATTCAATGTTGACGTACCTTTTGGTAACCATGAATGCCGTGAGTAAAGCTTGCGAGACGTATTTGAACTATTGGAATTTTCGTTTCGGCATCGTATGTACTCCTCTTCGTGCATTTAATGGTGGTGGCCAGAATATTGCAGTTATAGCATAAACCTTCCGCGTTTTTTTTCTGTATCTAGAGCAATTATTTACAATTTTTTTTGCCCTTTGGAGTGCAGGTAAACTTGAAGTATCTTACAATATCAGACCCAGAAGTAGAAATTATCCTTCGAGCGGTGGAAGTTTTTAACGTGAGTATTTGAGGTAGATGGCACGAAACATCTGTTTTGTTTTTCTGTTCCGCCAAACTATTTTCGAATGGCTCCTTCATTTCTAGCACCAAGTGGAAGATAAGTTCTTCGTACGAAATGGAAGCAACTACTTGAGAGATCGGGAGACACTCTTTAGCCTACAGAGATACGTGATACATAATTATCAACTGTACTATACCTTCGATGGCTTGTACTATGTAACTGGGTGAGCATTCTTATTTTTGCTTTATACTGTTGCAGGTGCAAATTGATGCAATGCTTACGAGCTTTTTTTCAGCCTCGACTTGGGCTATTATTACGTTACTGGCTTCGAAACTGATGTCCAAGGTAAGAACTCTTGTTTTCCTTTTTAAGCGAGCACATGTCACTCCATTAATTCTCAGTGACAACTTCGGGCAATTTAGCAGTTCGATTCGTAAAGATGGAATGTCTGTCAAGATGCAAACGTGGTACTTGGTTACCGTGTGCTAACAACGGAAAGGCTGACCGGGAAAGTACCTTGAGAAAAGAAATGAAGAAAATTTGAAGTAAGCGGCTGGAGTAAAGCCTTTGTTTATAGAAAGAAAATGTATCCAGACAGACCCTATGTGGCGCATGCGACACCACAGCAAGTAACGCATGTAGCTAGGCAAGTATCGCTAAAAAAAACCTGTCAATGTGTACGGGGCAATAATCATCGAACAACCGCATTTCTTGTCAATAACGCAGTCGGGCTGAAATCGGCTAGTGTGAACTGCTACTAAAAGTGGTTAGTTCCGCCTTAACTTTCGCAGTACATAAATATTGCAGATTAGGGGACTGCCAGTGGTTCCTATATATACATTGTATCGCTAGGATGCTGCCCGTACCTGCGGGAAATTAATGGAAAAGCCCTCGCGTACTAGCGTTTACGCACCCTGCTGAATAGCCAATGTGGTCATTCCCACAACGAATTGAAATACTACAAGAGCGCATTAGACCCCAAAATATCTTGACTATCACCATGTCAAGCCGAAACCATAAGTTGCATAACCGAGTCAGTTCAGAACATTTTTTTTCGGTTGCTTATATTTTAAAGGTCACTCCAAAGCATGTGTGAGCCATTTCTGTCACTTTGCCACAGATGGTCTAATGCTTTTACTTCCCTGATGGACACATGTAAAGTGAGGTCACAACTACGCAGATCAAACTTGCACATTTTCACTATGTGTTCTTGGAATTATTTCACGTCAATTTTCTTCAGCAGCATAATTACGTTGGGGCATAATAAATTAAATTTGCACAGCAGCATTACGTGGATTACACTATGGCACAAGAGAAATTACAAAAATGGCGCTGGCTATCAAACACAGCAGCGCACATCAACGCCGAGATTCAGTGCATAATGCCTATAGGAAGGCCTTTCAATATTTTTATCGCTTATTGTAATTTCGTTGTGCCGTAATGCATCCTTCTTGAACACCTGTCTTTCATGGTTTATCTCTTTCGTTTTTTTTTCCAATCGTTTCTCTTTTAGGTCTGGCATTCATTGGTGGTGTATGCACCATAGATAAGCTCGCCATGGGTGAAGACAAAGCACACACCTATAGCGGCGTACGAGTAACCGCTCACGAGCTTGGACATCTGTAAGATCTGCTTTTTCTTCCTGTTTATCTTCGTTAAGTCACTGATGATAAGGTGGTATAGGTCATTAATTTAGGAAATATAATTTCTAGGAATTTAACTATATATATATATATATATATATATATATATATATATATATATATATATATATATATATATATATATATATATATATATATATATATATATATTTACTAGAAGGGAAGGCCACTGAGGTAGCTCAGTGGTTAGCGCATCGAACGCGTTATTCGAAGGTCGTAGGTTCGATTCCTGCTCACGGCTGGTTATTTTTCATCCACTTTTCTTTATTTTTATTTACATTCCATTGGTTCTAATAACTTCCCCTGTACATTCCTTGGCATTACTGTCTGTTATATCTCATTAATATTGTGTTAAAACACGGAAAAACGAGCCCTTAGGTATACACTTCTTTCTCTTATTTCATTGAACGAGGGTCTCGTAATGGCAGACTTGGTGTGTTTAGGTTGTATAAGAGAGACAAGTAATCAGCTGCTCGCTCATAAAAAGTTCACGTGCTACGTGACGCCAAAACATGCGCATAAGAGTTTTCATACTCGCCGTTTGGCTTATAGATGGCGCTGACTGTCACTCCTACTTCTAAATTCACATATCAACCCAAAAAAGTGGATGGAGGGAAGGTCGCTGTGGTAGCTCAATGGTTAGAGCATCGAACGCGTTAATCGAAGGTCGTAGGTTCGATTGCAGCTCACGGCTGTTGATTTTTTATCCACTTTTCTTTATTCTTATTTAGATTCCATTGGTTCTAATCACTTTCCCTGTACATTCCTTGGCATTACTGTCTGTTATATCTAAATAATATTGTGTTAAAACCCGGAAAAACGAGCCCTTAGGTATACACATCTTTCCCTCATATATATATATATATATATATATATATATATATATACATCGAATAAATACGGAAATCATGCTTGTCATTTGTGCCCTTTAGTATGTATATCGTAACAAACAACAAATAGTACCCTCTACATTTGTGAGCGGCCTTTTCCAATTCGCATAGGAGAGACCCAGACCCTGACATTTGGCTACGTGAAAGGCATTAGAAAAACTGAACAGCCAGCACCCACGGCTGTTATTCATGCCCGCGCCCCTTCGCTCTCTTTTATTTGCAACATGACCTTCAAGTATCCATGAGTCAAATACCGGCGAAATTGTCCTGCCACTTTAAATGACACAGCCGGAAGCTCAACGCAACCACGCTGATATTAGAGGAAATTGACTCTACATCATACTGCATGAGCCATCCGGGCAATCAGCCCAACAGTTCGAACAAGTGTGGTAGTTTGCAGTCAGCGCCTCTTAGTGGATCGCATTACATTTTCTACTTATACTTCAAACAAATGACAAAAAACATTGCTTCAGACTCCACACTACATAACTGAAGCATTTGTAACCCTGTACTAAAACCAAGCAACTATTTCTCGTGTGCTTTAATTCTACTTATCAATTTCTATAGCGTCATTCTAAAGACAAATATGGCACCATTATGACAGCGTCAAGAGCACGTTTAATTTTGAAGTAGCACGGGCGGGCGAGTCAACCACGCAATGCAAGAGGTTATTTTGGAGGCGTTAGTTTTGCTGCGTAGGTTATCGAATTTTACGAGAGACCGCGCCATTTCGCATGGACTGAGACAGCCTGCTGCCGAAAATTGGTCGAATATTTCGCATACGCAATCCAAACCCCAAGATCTTGGTTGCACAGGCACAGAAAGGAAAGGTGGTGATACCGACGAGTGCAGAGCGTACTGCGGTGTATAGCTTGGCGGGGTGTGCTTACAGGCAGGCGAAAAGAGTGACCCTCACTCACTCACTGATGAAATGTAGAGCTCACTGTAGGACAGAAAAGGCTGTGGCACTTTATCAGACTCGCCAAACTTTCCCTTAGCCGAAGTCACACACAGGAAAATTTTCTGCAACCAGACTCACTCGAACTGAAACGCACGTTAATATTACTCACCCCGACTCACTCAGACTCGCAGCTCAATCAGAGTCTCAACCAGCCCAATCGAATCGACTCATGAGTGAGTTCGCTGACCTGCGCACCATGTGTCCTTTAAAACATGCAACGAATTGCCACGGCCCTCGTACACATCTGTCACATAGGTCCCGTTAATTAGGGAGGCTATCGCCGGGCTAATTCCAAGGGCCGAAGTATCGGCCCCCCCAACCGCACCACGAAAGCGTGGACAATTTAGAAGTGGTCCTTTTTGGCGCGCCAGCGGACGCCGGCTGTGGCCCAAAGAACAAGTCAGAGCCGAGAGTTGATAAACAAACAAAATTATATTCTCAACAATGGCAGATTGAAAACAATACACAAGAATGCACACTCCACAATAGTTACATACAATACGTCACCAAACAAACAACGTCCTACACAGTACAATCCGCCACACTCAAAATAACGGACACAGACAACGATACGCACTACAATGCAGTCGCATGCATTGAACAGCCAAGACAGTTAAAGACTAAAGAGATAGAAAACCTAACCAGTCCAAAGTTCTTGGAACACAAGTCTGAATGATACTCTTCCAAGAACCACTCACTCAATGTCCAGCGTTGTGGTCGTTCCGCAGCCCTCGAAGTTTCTCTTCCAGGAAACCTCACGTCTTCAATAGGCGACTCTCCAAGCTTCAAACTTCTTCGCCGGAAACACGTCGGCTTCCCACACGCAGCTGTTGCCACGCGTCTTCGCTCGATAGCGGTAAACACACACTCTTGCCTGTAGCTCGAGCCTTCACCTCTCAGGTGGAAATCCTCTTCATCTCCTGCTTTTCGCTACGGACAAAACCTTCGCCGACTACACGGCGGGATCCCTTCGCGCTTTAGAGCTAACTTCCGTCTTCTCCTTCGAAGTTTCTCTTCCAGGAAACGTCACGTCTTCTTCTGCTTTGTCCCTACGGACAAAACCTTCGCCGACTACACGGCGGGATACCCTACGCGCTCTGGTGCTAACTTCCGTCTTCTCCTCCTCTCTCGTCTCGGCTGGTCGATTAAATACCTTCCGTGCGAGATTCCAGAAGGTTCTCGTCATTTCGTCGGCGCGATACGCAGCGAAGGCTGGGGAGTTGGCGAGACGGTTGGAATGCCCTCCGCGATGGATGACTCAACCCGGCGTGACCACGCCTCTTTCGATCTAGAAATTTCGCGGGCTTGCTCGGCCGCCGATGTGGGGTGAGGAGGTTCGTCGGCGAAGCCACGCTTCCGAGGAGAGAGCACGCGCCCGGGGAGCCTTGGATGTTTGTTTTCTTTTTTTTTCTTTTGACCTCCCGGCGTCTCTCCCGCGCGTTATCGCAAGAATTTGGCGGCGCGCCCATTTTTAGCGCTCGTTCTGTGACAACATCGCAACACTCGCCTCAATGTGAAAATTCAGCTTGTCAGCTTCCAGTTGCGGCCTGGTTGCTATAAAGTCCACTTCCTCAAAGCGTGACATCTGCTACATTTTTCTTTACTTTATTAATCATTTCTACCTTAATTGGTAGTTTCACCATAATACGCAGATAACTGTGTCGGAGACGATTTCATGCACTGTGTCTTACGTATTTATCATTGATTTTGAACAAGAATCGAGCTTGTATTTCCTGTTTCCTGTGAAACGCCTGCCTTCGAACAGTTCTGCATATCTTAACATTTATCATACCATGCCAAAGAGTCATGTTTGTCTTCAGCTTCCTTCACCTCATATCTATTGGGCTAATTTTACTGATGTGACTAAAACACAGCTTTTTGAAACACATTAAAAGCTTATTTTTAGAAGGACAAAAATTAGGGTGAGTTTGCACTGATTCACAGTTCATTTGAACAGCATGCTATTGTGCACTTCATTTCACCACTAGGCTCGGCTGTCCGCATGATGGAGAACAATACAGGTTCTTCTCATCGAAGGATTGTCCAAACAGTGATGGCTACATCATGACCTACTGGTCGAACAGCAGCAGGAGCATGAAATTCTCTGAATGTTGCAACCGCGCCATATCAGACCTTGCACGGTGAGTGTTAAGTGAAAATAATAGGAAGAGCTTTTCGAGTGTCGTAAGAAAACTGCAAGTACATGCAATAGTGTTAGTATTCGTCGTACACTTGTGAAGTTAAGCAATAAGGAATGCATTCAGCCTTGATAATTTGCAGGAACTGGGTTAAAATAAACGTATTTCTCACGTAAATCAAATTGTAGAGCTACACAGTAAGCTCTGGTTTTGCGAAGACGCTATCATTTAGGTGTTATATAAATACCCATTCCTATCAGCCATCGCCTCAGGAGTGAAGTACCACAGGGTCTCGTCGTGTTAGCAAGCTTCTCATCTGCATATAGCTGTTGCTAGCTGCTCCCGCTGGTGCCGTGATGGGGCTGCTATCAGTGTGCCAGAGAGGGTGCCACCACATCAATGCTCGATGCATGGCAAAAGACAGCGAACGGCTCAGGTTAAATCCTATGTAGCTTGCAGTCTGCGTAGATGCTCAGTCACCACATGCCATGATCTCGCTTCCAGTGTTGCTGCTTGTTGTCGGCATCGCCGGTTTGCGTTTCGCGGGCCCGAAAGCTTTCACGACCGTTTCGATCTATGGCAGGAAGAATGTGGGGTATTGAACGCGCTTATTCGTCATCGTCGTCAGTGTCACCATCAGTGTCATGGTGCATAATAAGTACCCTGCATGTGGTCTGCCGTGATCATAGCGTCATCGACATCGGGTGCCTTACATGTGCTAGTGTGCATATTGCTAGAGTTCGTGGTCAGTGCTTACGCTGGGTGCTTTGCTTGTGGTGTGCCGGACAACACACAACGAACAAGCCACGACCAAAGAGTGCTCCACCCAGAAGAAAATCAATTCCTCACGCTGCACAAGCGTTCACCGGCAAGCCCGTATATATAGGCACTGGATCTCGACAAGCAGAATAGTGCCGGTTAGAGATTTTTCTTCTGCATAGATGCAAAACACATATATTCAGCGTGTGCATTACTTAAGCGGACTGTGGTTCTTTATGTCTAAGCGGAGCAAACTGGGTCCTACGTTCAGACCTATGAACATAGCGTGCCTGAACAGACCCATGAACATAGCGTTTGGGGATAACCTATCCCCAAACTTGACGCTTGTAAAGCTGAAACAATGTTGTCTATATGCCCCTTCACGAGAATTTTTTTTTGAAATAAATCTTAGCGTTTCATGTGCAATAATTATCACAAACATACAGCATTTTTGTTTCTTTTAAGTGAGCGTTATTGGTTGACATGTAGTGAAAATGTGATATTTGCAATCGTTTCTATTTAGGTCACCATTTGGAGACTGTCTAGAAACCAAAAACGCAACTCGACGAATAAACAGGAGTCTTGACACTACCGCTCTTCCTGGGGAAGTGTTAACAAGGGACCAAGTGTGCCAGCTTGCCTTTCCAAATGTTCGAGACATTCGATTTGTAACAGTAAGTTTCTAATGCATTTATTTTTAAACTGCTTAATCTATATCTATATTGCATACAAAGGAATCATGTGCGTGTTTATTTCCATGCAAAGGAAATGGAGGGGCATAATCAAGCAGTTGTTTGTTCTGTAATAAGACGACGCAAAGGCAAAAGCCAGTTTTTGTTTGTTCCCAGTGTAATGCAATGAATTTCAATAATCAAGGTGTCGTTACAAGTCTTATATTTTGTGTGTACCCTCCTAACACAATTAGGCACGTATCAATCAACCTCTTCATTAATATTGTTCTGCGTAGTGGACCATTTGTTGTTGACAACATCACCCGTAAAAAATTGTCCGGCTTGCTTGTTACCATTCATTACCTTTTCTTTCTCACAATCTTTCATTGAGGCAGTCATTTTTCATCGCCAGTTTAACAATGCTGTTCGCACTTTTTTAATATCATAGTGGCTGGGCAAGTTCTACTTTTGAAACAACCTCTCGGGCAAAAAATAAATTAATAAAGCAATTCTGTTCTTTCGATCAACGAAAAGCCGAGTATCTCTCCTGTCTTTTTAGTTTTAGAGATGCATTGAACAGCGCTTGTGTTCTTGCCTAATATTCATTGCTTTCTATACTTTAGAACGCGCTTTCGAGCCCAGCTGCAGTTACCTTACTCACCTTTTTTAGGGGCGAAGCTCCTTAAAGCGGCACCCGTTCGTCCCACATCGTAGTCGTTGTGCGTAACCAGTCTTACGCTTTGTCTTGCAAGGTGGTGCCGGTGGGAGATTTCTCCGGTGTGTTGTAGAGCATTAAAGAATTCGCAGCATGCGCGTTAACTAAAAGCCGAATTCTCCTGTTTCTCATTCCCAATTAGCAGCCATGGGCATGTACATTGAGCACTATCTGACAAGAAAGGGTTGCTACGTTATACTCGCTGGGCCTAACCTTCTTGATTTTAGAAAGGTTTAGCGAGCGTTCAGCCGCAGTGCCATGAATACAGTGAAATAGTATAAACCATGAACTCGAGATGGTTAAAGGAGGGAAGTAGACACGCAGCGCAAGCCGTAAGAAAGCGTGCGTGTGCCACCTCTCGTTTAGTCCTTGGAATGTCCGCTGGATGGCGGTGCTTCTGTATGGGGAATATATGTTGAAAAGACGTGAGATGGTGGTACTTGAAGTGTTGACTAGATGGACGAACGGACACACAGACAGATCCATGGATGGACGCACGGATGGCTGCACGGACGGATGGACGCATGGACGGACGCAGGGGCGGATGCATGGACGAATGCACGGACGGACGCACAGATCGACGTGCAGATGCACGAACAGATGCACGCACGGACGGGTGATTGAACGCATGGATGGTCACACAGACGGTCGCATGGACGGACGGAAGCAAGAACGAATGGACGGACGGATGATTCGCCCCACTCTCCATCATTCCCCTCGTGGATATGCTGCCATTTTTTTGCTTTTTTATCAACAAGTCTGTCTTGGACGATATATGAGTTCTTATTTCCGATTCAGTATGCTGTATAAAAATTATATGCTCTCTTTTTTTCGCAAACATGGTCTTATTGTCACATTTAACATGAACCTGCATTGCTCGTGCAACAAAAGACTTAGTGTTTTTTAGCAGCAGAGTTGTTTAAAATTGAAGTTAGTTGAAAATGCGGGGAACAGCCTGAAATTGCTCCCGTTGTTTTCCAACATTGCACTCGCAAACCATGTGCAAACACATGGACAAGTAAGCCTCTTTATGAATTGCGCGTGCCTCAGTGACAACGCACACGGGCGGTACGTTGCATTCTTTGAAGAAACTGTTTCATGTCTTTGAATGCAAAAACAAACGGGCTTTCGTGTGACTACATATTGCAATGAAGGCAAAACTCTAAAGCGCACTTTGAAGCATTGAGATGGCAGCAGTGCCAATGCTCGCACTAAGTCACGCAAGGCTTGAAACCGCGATGCTGGAGAATTCCGATGACGAATTCGGCTGTTTATATGTTATTCGAAGGATTTCTACAAGTGATGCTAGGTGCTTTCAAGGATGTGTCACGGTTGTTGCTATTACTTCGACAGGAGATTCTAGATGGTTTCTGGGTTGCCACGACGTTGTTGTTTTGCTCTAGATTGGGATGTCAAGTAATTTGTAAGTTCCTTCTTGATTTTTGCTAGGTGCTCGCTCGGCGATGCAAGGTTGTTTCTAGGTTGCTGTTAGCTTAGTTTTGTTTCATCTGGGAAGTGCTAGGACGCTTTTATGTTCCTTCTAAACTGTTCTGAGGCCTTCAGTAGCTGATGCTAGGCTATATCTAGCTAGTTGTTAGGCTTTTAGCTCGCCGATTCCAGGTTGTTTCTAGGTAGTAGCTTTATTCTTAGCTAAGTTGTTTTCTTCGTTGCGTCTAGATTTTACCTGAATTCTACCGTGATAATAGGCTCTTTTTTAGGTTATTTGATTTGTTATAGTTCGTAATCTATTAGCATGGCTGTTTCAAGAGTTGCGCTAGTTAATGAAAGCTTCGCCGTGTTCTCTCTTGTTGTGTACCGTGAGCTAAATTCACAGCAGTTTCACGTGCCTTATGGAGAGTCATTCTGCGCATTCATAAGAAATATAGACACCACATGGAACACAGCTGGCACTCTAGAGTCGCCGCCACCGCGCGTCTTGGAGATCTGCACATTCTAGAAGAGCGATATCACAGCCATGGCCGGTATACTGATGCCGGCGCGTGCCCAGATCTGAGCCTACGTGGCCCGTAGCCATGTCGGGCAATGCGCCGGAGCCACTTGATAGCGCCGATCGTTATGTGCGCAGGCGCAGAGGTATCCGTCAGGGTATACATATAGCGGAACTTTTGCGAATCTACAGTAAGCTTGGTAATCAAGCTAACTCTTGACAAACAGTAAAGCTAAGAATATTAAGCTGAGCTTTGGCTGACGCTACGTATATCCTAGAAAAGCCGAGTTAAGCCACAGCCATGTTATGCCATTTCTTATCGCTTGCTTTTTCTGTCTCTTCTTTTTTATCTCTATTTTTGTATGTCACGTTTCGCTTTCTTTTTACTTCTATATCTTTCTTCTCACTCTTTCACGTGTTTCAAGCACTGCACTTCGGATATAGAAGGTTTTGTTTAGTGATCCTCACTTGCGTACACTAGTTAGTGGGACTTGCCCGATTCCTGTGCAGCATTCCCACGCAAGGAGCTTCGTACAGGAGATCTCAACTAACCGACAAATTTAACAGCTTGAATGTAAAAAGAGTAAACATTGCGCGTGCCTGTTTATGAATATGGTGATTGTTATAGCACAAATGGGACCCACTAAAGTTTTTTTTTTTTCTCCAGGCTTCGCTGTTAACACTTCATTAATTGATATTTCCTTAAAGCATTAGTTCAGTAAAGCTGCTAGAAATCTTCATTTTCACGTTAAGCAAATTTGTGCATATTTTTAAACCGTAGGGGACTTTACAAAAGAACGCAAATGATGCTGATTGGTATAACACACGTACAACGCAACTTTCAGCGTTGATTCTCGCGCTACACTTTCCCGTCAAAAGTTATATCATTTTTGAGCAGTTACTTTTCTAGCTGTCTAATATAAACCAGCCTTCCTTAAAAACCAAGAAATGTAAGAATTCACTCATTTCATTTGGCTTAGTGTAGGTACCTCAGGATGTATACTAGAAATGTAGCAACTGTTCTTCCTTCATAAGTCGCTTCATCGAGCGTTAACAAAAAAATAACCTCTTCGCTTGATACCGAAACACCAGCAGTTTTTCAACTTGCGGGACAGTGCTTAGCATGCACAACAAACACAGCTTCACTGCGTCACCCCAAAATCTTTTGTCAGTTTGTCGTGTGGGTCACGTTTTGGGGGACTGAAACACTAAGAAACAAATAACAGGTCATGATGTGGAGGTAGCTGGGTCATTGCTTGAGTACAAAAGGTGCAGCGCTAGATATAAGAGGACACATACAGGACTAGGTAGCATAAACGGGCTCTCCTCTGTGAAGATTTGTGTCCTGTTTTCGCCCTCTTAAAATATACCACCGAACCTCTTGTACACAACAGATTAAATATGCTGGATTAGTCTTATATAGGAATCATTTATTTACAGGACAATGGTATAGCCAAGTGCTACGCTTCTTGTCGTTCCGACCAAAGAAACAAAACTCTAAAGACGATGCTTCCGGATCACTCGCCCTGCAACGAGACGAGCTTTGAAAGAAAACAATCTGGACGTGCAAGTGGACACATTTCTCAGGGAGACGTAAGCGCATCAACATTCGTTCAACGATTGCTGGTGAAATGTGTGCATGCACAGAAAGGTGGCTGAAAAGAGTCATCTTTAGAGATTATTGCTAACAAATGTAATTTTATAGCAATGCGCTGTATTTACGCCTACAGAATAGCGCAATATATTATGTTAGGACATATTTATTGACAGCTTAGACTCATCTGTCGAAAAGTTCAAATTTTATCACAAAAACCAGTCCGTGCTAGCTCTTTTTAACACTTTTCATTTTTTTGCGTGTCTGCTCAGAAACAAGCTCAATCAATACTTTTAGGCCAGTTCATGTCTCTAAAATTACACCAATTCATCTGCCCAGACTTACCGGGAGCGCGTTGGATATAGCGAAACGCTAGGACCTTGGGCATCTGCCTCAGTTGCGCAGAAAGTGACTAAAGTACTCGAACTTTACTTAATGTCAACAAACCTGAGCGACCGCCTGTAGACTGTGTGTGCTCCCCCGAGTGTGCTCGTGATTGAGTGTACCTTCTTATCTCTCTGCAACCTCTTTTCTCCCCTTCATCCTTTCCCCAGTGCAGGGTAGCAAACCGAATGCACGTCTGGTTAACCTCCCTGCCTTTCCATGCATCTTTATATATTTATCTCTCTCTCTCTTTGAAAGGTTTGCTGATAGTTGTGAATATAATCAGAAGTTTCGCACTTGGAAATATATGCATTTTTAGGCTAAAATAATTTCGTGCTACTTTTGCAGATGGTCTGCGTCAATGGTGATTGCAGAGCCAAACTCTCCAAATACCCAGTCGAACCAGTAAAAGCAGCAAAGAGACAATAAACTTCTTCAGCAGTGACGTGGTTCTCATGGCCTTTTCAATAAAAACCCAGCATGTGCGTGAATATCCAATGTAATATAGCTCAGCCCAGCTAACTGATCACCTTTCCAAACTTCTTCGTTATGTAACCAAAAAGAATCCTTTGCTCAGAAACTCAGCAGTTGTTCTGGATACGTACACAACTGATGAGCGAACCACCATACAAATGGCACACAAACGACTACGCGCCTGAACTCGCTGCTGGTGTTCATGAAGGCGGTAGGGTAGGGAGTGGGTGAGGAGAGCGTCAGCTGCGCTTGGTGGCCGGAACGACTGAACGAGTGAGTGCGCAGCGCGCGCAGAGGAGTGTGAGTCATCTAAAACCGCGCCTAATAGGTGCATCGTTGTGGGATTGCACCTCTCGGTACGCTTGCTCGGTGCAGGGAGCTTCGACGGCTGAGTGTGGGCGCCACTAATAAAAACTGCATCTCTAAACGCATGAGTTTCTCCTTGTTCTGCGCATATCACATTTTCGTGGATATTAAATTCATATATTCTTTTTATTCGTGTTGTTATTGTCTGTTACTTAGTTTTTTTTGTGAAAACACCCTTTTGATAACATTTTTGTTCTTCACGGATGCTCCCGTTTGTTTACATGCACCTGCAATACATACGTTCTGAAGGCTGGGTGAATGTTCACGCACCTTGTGCGATGTTAAGGCGCTTCGTCCCTACAATATTTAACAGTGGCCAAAGTGCCTGCATTTTTTTGTCCAGTAGAATTGTCTTTCAAAAAAAGGTCCCTGTTATCTTCGAACAATGAGTGTTAACCAAAACGATTCTTGAACACAGCACATTCTTTCGTGATATGTGAGGACTTGTCAGTATCCTTAAAAATTAGTGAGACAGTAGTAGCTTTACATATTGTTGAGTACCTGCATTTCTGAGTCAAGGTGCATTTGCAAAAATATATTTGTAACTCAGTGCTAAAATATTTCAAGGTGCATCGACTATATTGTGATACAATGCAGGTCACAAAAATTACGTTGTTTTTTACATACGAAGCATTTCTTTTCGTACTACCGCCACTTTTTGCATCTATCTATCTATCTATCTATCTATCTATCTATCTATCTATCTATCTATCTATCTATCTATCTATCTATCTAGCTGCTTACGTCTAGGTGCTATCGAGATCACCCATCTGCGTAGCAAGCAGCTGTTCTACCGCGGAGCCACAATATTTCTTGCAGCTTCGTTGGATAGAAAATTCACGATGATGTCACGTAGTGGCAGGAGTTTACGCATATTGTATTGCATGGCCCAACCGTAAAATGGCACCAGGATTCAAATGATTTGAATTCAGCAACGAGTGGTCTTTTTAAAGGCCCACCCACTACGAAGTGCTCAGACATACTTGAGCATTGTCACCGGTTGCACCATCAACAAAGTGAACAGCTGCAAAAGTTCGCATGTTGCCCCATAGACGTGAAGTGGGCCCTTCACAGCGAAGGGCCCACTACACCGGAGTGATTACAAGGTCCTAAGACATCAGCACATTTGTAATTATTCTGTCTGCAAAATAATAATTGTAAAGTGCTCGTCTGTTGTTTTTCTTTTTCTTTCCGACTGCTAGCTTGCTTTGGATCTTAGTGCATGTTTAAACCGTGCTTTCCAGCATCACGGTGGCATGCACCAACAACCGAATCAGGCTTCAGAAGGCAATGTACATGGCACCCGCTTAAGTTATTGCGATCTACTGTTGAAGGCGAAGCTCGAGCGTCCTCCAATCATCCGGGATAACTTTCTGAGTATATCTGCCCTACGCCGTTTTATACTAAGGTGCATCGTGGACATCAGTGTTTGGTATTACGCGTACCTACAAGACCTTCAGTGCAATGTTTTCTTTAAGCAATAGTGTTCCGTATGATGTTTTAGCACGGGTAGGTGCATCGGCTTGCAAAAGCATCTGTGAATAAACTTTGGCTGAAGTACATAAAATTTACCAGAAACAATTATTCCCAGGCTAATTGGGATGAAACTGATTCCCACAAAGCAAGGGATTGGTGATTTTGTTATTGGTTTGCATGACCTACAAATCACATTTTAGACATTACACATCTATCCTGTCTTGATTGCCACACGTCTTTGAACTTCCAGTTTATACCACATGTATAATGTCGAAGATCAACTGTATTAAGTATCAATAGCTGGTATGAGTCCTCTTTTCTTGCAAACGAAAAACTAGTACATCAAATTAGATTAGTGGGAACGCCTGGTGTAGCTCCAGATGAGTGGGGAGAAGATGAGCCACCGAAATGCGCTGGCTATTTTTGTCAGACTCTATGCTCACATGTGCTGGATAACATTTTAATTGCACACCATCGTTACTCGCGAAATATTCATAAATATATTTACTAGGTCAGTGCTCTTCTGGGCGCGATAACAGTTCACGGTGTTCTGTAATCTGTGCTTTCTATTTATAATAGTTTCTTCAGCACAACCACTCCCTGTTCACCATCTTATACTTAGGCCTTGCGAGATACCCACCATGGAAAGAAAACAGATCTTGATGTTGATGTTTCGCTAATGAAAATTGCAAAAACACATGATAAATTTGCAAGCATACAGAAGAAATTTCTAAAATATAACAATATACCAATCGCATTTTCGACCTCACATATAAGATCATGCATGGAGGGAAAGTGGGCTTCCCGAATGTCACAGACTTCACATTCCATGTCGGTGTTGGCAAAAAGCATTGCTTCCTGTTTCTCTGGAGAAAACTTCTTGAGTATACTTAAAGCGTAGCACAGTCACTTTGAAAGCTGAAAAAGTGGTCTTCAAGGGGCCCCGAAACACTTTTTCAATTAACCATAGAATGAATTCACTGGAACAGCTTATTGCTTTACGAATTCAGCGCCGCAAGAATTTTACGAATCCCTATAGTGCGAGTGGAGTTACAGAGGTTTGTCGCATGCTGTAATTGCATTCCCTCTTCTCTCGTCCCGGCGTAAGCTCTGGAAGCTAAGTAAGGAGGGATGTCAGGGCTACAGAAAAACGTCACGCGCGCTTCGTGACCTTCAGCACTTTTTTTTTCTTTGAATGCGTCGCTTTCTCAGTGTGACCGCGTGCGCACGCGTGGACAAGTAAAGGCCTCTCACGGCAATCTCTTTAACGAGCAAGCGCGCCATGTTCAAATCAGCCAATGAATGATAGGTCGTTCACGTGTGATTTTCGGGCACATAATGTGATTTTCTGAGAGAATAGAACGCAATTTTTAGCTGACTTTGATAATTTATTGTGAATTCCAGGCCTCGTTCTGTACTATAATATTTGGTTCGCGTGTTGTCGGGAGCCTCTGCTACCGATCGGCAGCGTTTTCTGACCATGCTCAAAAAGTGTTGCAGGGCCGCTTTCATAAAGCTTGTTAAACTCTTTTGGAACAACTAATTACACTGAAAAGGTGCCCAATAGGCAATAAATTATAACTTTTGTGAAGTTGGGAATTACCCTTATGTCATTATTAGTTAATCTGCGGAGAGACTAGGTTAGGTACCTTTGAAAGACATTTTATTTGCACCTTTTCTCACGCTGTGGCTGATGAGGATGAATCATAAAAGCTCAGAAATTTCTAGTAAGGGGGAAGACTCAAATCACACAATTGTTGCACATTCCACATTGTGTAATGCCGAGGTGTTATTTTAATTTTCATTTTTCGATGGAGGCGATAATGCGGTAGGCCCGTGTGCTCAGATTTCGGTGCATGTTGAAGAACCCCAGGAGGTCGAAATTTCCGGAGCCCTTCACTACGGCGTCACTCGTAATCATATGGGGTCTTTGAGACGTTAGACCGCACATATCAATCATGATTTTAATTTTCAGCCACGCCATTTCGCGCTCGCTTACACAAGTCGATCCCCGAGAAGGCACTTCTTCTTATGTTGGCTGGCGCTCTGTTGATAAGGACACTCTGTGAAGTACGAACATGCCACTAAGTGTTGGGAGTGGAGTTCCGCTCGCTAGCGGCGCCCTTTCATGATGAAGCCACGAACTAAGAAGCATTGGCCACTAAAAGTGTTTCCCCAGGAACTTATCTGATCATTTTGGAACATCTGTCGCAAAACGTACACTTGGCGACGAAAATCGGGTCTTGGAGAGTTGCACAGCGTCAAGGAAGGCGAGCGTTCTCGGCACCCAGTCTCTGTTCAGGATCGATGATTAAAGAGGGCTGTTTTCTCTTTTTTTTCTTCACTGACTGATATCGTGAACATAGAAGAGAGTGCAACTTACTACGCAACTGGGCCCAATGTTACCAGCGAACGTTGTTCGCACGAATGACTGGGTCTCTCACGAAGAGCGGCTAACGTCATTTCTAATCTTCAACAGGGTTTCCGAGTGTGACAGCGTACACGCGTTGCTGCTAAGCATCATCAGTTCCAGAACCTACCGCCTTCTGAAATCAGTGGCCGCCCCGGAGCTGTTTTCAACCAAGAGCGTCGGGGTGCTAAAGAAGATCCTGGGTGACCATCTGTCAGTAACGACTGAGCACACTACTGGAGGCAGTAAGTAAAAGGCATGTCCATTATTTCTTATTACGTTGCCGAGCTGTGGATGGTAGAACGAACTTGTGAATTTGAAGCACGTATCTGTGGGATATCTTCGTGTGCGGTTTGTTAGCAGATGACTTGCAGTTAGTGTTGTTCATGAAGAAGCAAGCTAATGTTTCAAAGGGTGGCAGAGAATGCTATGGCTCTGGAGGTTGCAAGAAAAAGCACTGCTGAAGCCCGCACAAATGTGCCTACAGCTAACCCTATGCATAGGGCAGAGGCGGCTTCGAGTGTTTAGTCGGAGGCATGTTTTTTTGCTTGGGATCAGAAAAACATTTCGGCAAAGCATGTCCCTATGTAAATGATCATTGACATAAGTGCAGCGAAAGGGAGTAGCTTCAAAGACTTTGTCGAAGCGCACCCAGCACGTCGCGTAGGAACGGCCTATCAAGG